TGGAAGAACATTTTGTTTCCTGTTTGGCCGTCCAATTCTTTCTAGCACCATTTATTTAAAAAGCATTCCCTTCTCATTCATAGCAATTCCTCTTTAATAGTCACACATCGTTATTAAAGACAATGGTTTCTGGGTCATTGAAACCAATGACCTGTGAATGTAATAAAAATGGAAGCTTTAGAGTGGGATTTCACATCTGCCGAAGTCCTGCCTTACTGCTTTCCTCAGAGCTATACTTGCCTAACTTCCTCCTGCACTCATTCTTTTTAGAAGGTTACATGCATTTATTTAAGATTTTAAAACATAAAGCAGTAAAAATCAACACATAAAAATACCTAAGTGGGCTAGGGGCATAGCTCAAGTGGTACAGTGCTTTCCTAGCATGTCCAAGGTCCTGGGTTCAATCCCTAGAACCACAAAAAGTTTTTAAAAGGAAGATAATAAATGAAGCCCAACCCCCAACACACTACCTATCCAGGTTCTACCTCACAAGCACTAGTTAGCATTGGTACTCACCTATCAAGCTTTTCTTAAGTTTATACTGACAAATTATATGCAGACATTTGACATAAATGCTTTCAAGGAGGGGAGAACATCCACTCCCAAGGAGGGAAATGTACAATATTTATGACCTCTCTTCTCCTTGCTCTTGCTCTGAACCAAAGAGTGGTTAGCTCCTCTGTCTCTAACTCCTTCTACCTTCCTTGCCGTTCTCCCACCACTCTTAACACTGTTTCTTACTCCTAAAAGTTCTACCATTTGCTGCTACATTGAGAGAGTCTTCCTCCCTGTGTTCAGAAATCTTATTTAAACCTGAGCTTAAGTGTCTCCATGAATATAAAAGAATTAAACACTTCATCTGCCCATAGGGATAAGAACGTTTTTCTTCTTATTCCCATCAGCTCCAAATCATGGGTTTGGTTAAAATAATATGAAACTTTAGTATGGTTATTTAAACTCTTCCTTAAGAGCAGGCATGACAGCCACACTTTTGGGTACAGCCAATGATTGTACCCTGGATAATTCCCTCCCCTTGACTGTGAGCTTCTGCCCAAGAGCATATGGCAAAGTCAAGAGGTTTGGCAGATGCGTGTAAGGTCCCTAATCAGTCGACTTTGATTCATCCTAAGAGGGCCTGACCTGGTCAGGGAGGCCTTTAAAAAGCTCTAGGCCTTCCCTGAAGTTAGAAAGTTGGAGCAATATGGCCTCCTTCACTGTCGATGGATTTCAAGCTTTTGTAAATTCTACAGTCCACACCTCAGGATATGACTTCTGCCCACACCTCAGGGGACTTAGATGCTTATTCATTCCTCCTCGAGCCTCACCTTAGAGCTCAGCCCAGCCACCACCTTCATCTCAGCCTGTGAGACCTTGAGCAGGTGATCCATGAAGCCCTACCTGGCTACAGAATGGCCAGCTGATAGAAGGGTGCTAACTGTCAAATAAGGGTGCTGGATACTGTGAATGGAGGTTTGCTCTGCTTTTTCTTCTTGGGGAGCTTAACTGTTGAAAGAATGCAGGGTACCCAATGTGTCACAGATGTGTGAGGCTCTGCATTTAGCTGGGGATGGAGACTCCTTGTCACAGGCACACACAGCTTCATGTCCTCTGAGCAATGCTTACACTGCAGGACCAGTTTATACTATACCATTATGAACAGCTTTTGCACGTTATGTCATCGTAAGTGGTGGAGGTGCTACTGTCTATGGAGGAGAAAGCAGAGCCTCACCTGTATTAGGTAACTTGTCCAAGATCACACAGCCTATCACAGCTCAGCTCCAGAGCGGGGACCTTTGGGAACCCTGTCCTCTAGGTCCTTGCTTCAGAAGAGCCTGGTGAAGCATTTCCTGCTTAATCCAGGACTTAGATGTCAGCAGCTTTCAGTTTATTCAACCTGCCTCTTCCTAAAACAAATCTTTAAAGGGTGTTACCTTAAACCACTAATGTGTAGTAAATTATTATGTAGCAATAGATGAGAAATGTAGCAGTTATATCCTTTTAAAAAGATATTTCTTCATCATTAAATCAATATTCACAATCCTGCTAATCTTCTCTCTTTAGATTAATTCCTGCATCTGAAGAATTCTGCCCAACATTCCCCCCCCAAAAAAAATCCTTCATCTTCCCCTGCATCAAACACTTTGCTCTGGTTTAGTTGTTCAACCAGATATTCTTAGAGAAGGTAGAGTGACTTTATAGTTCTTAATTCTTGAATGTAGAGCATTTTCTTTCTTTTCCCTTAAAAAATACAGCTGTACTGCTGTTCACCTTCCTTACTGAGAGTCACAGTTCAAAATTGAGTTCTCTCTCTTTCACTTCCTCTCTTGAGTGTTTAGAGATTTAATTTTGATTTTTCTTTCTAAGACTTTTCTCCATGTTTTATTTCTGGCCAGGCTGGAGGGTGACCATCTCAGTAGACAAGTGACCCTGGAGACCTACCTCCAGTGTTGAATGGGTGGACTAGCCATCCAAAGCCTGGGGTAGAGGGAGGCCTCCCAGTGTGGCGTTCAGGGCTCTTCAGGTGTGAGAAGGACAAGACCATTCTTTCCTAGCCACATAATAACTAAAGGACTAGTACAGCCCAACCCTGCCACTCTCTGGAAGGGCAGTCGATGTCTGCAAGGTCAGCAGACACTTCTGCCTCTTTGGGTCAGGTGTGACACGTCACCACGTGTGTTTCCACTCTGAGTTGAGGAGTCCTCAGCTCTGCCTAGAACCCCCATCTCCTTCTCCTGCTTTAAACAAAGGCCCCCAGCATGTGCAGCCTTCCACAAGAACTCAGCCCTCAGGTATGTTTGCAGGTCCCTCCAGGGGATCCACGACGTTGAGGCAGGAGGGATCAGGGATATCAAGTGTGGACTGGAGCTGCCATCTTCCCAAAGTCTTCATTTTCTTAGACTCAGAGATGCAAGATTGTATTTATAGAGTGAAGGAAAGGAGCAAAGAAACAGCTTGAGGTTGAAGATGAGCAGAATATAGGCAATTACTAGAGAAAGTTCTCAGGAAGATGGAAAAGGCTAGATTCAGAGGACATGGGGAAGGATTAACCTTGTACAAGATGAGGAGCACAGGGTCAGTTAACACAGGACAGAATGAAGTTCCAGTGATTATGCTTGCAGGTAAGTTTATGGAGCAAGTGTTCTCAAAGTCCGGCATATGGACCAGCAAATCTGTATTGCCTGAGAATATACCAGAAATTTAAATTCTTGGACCACCCCCTGACCTCATGAATTAGAAACTGTAAGATGAGGCCCAGTGAGATTTTATAAGTCCATTAGCAAAGTCTAACATACACTCCGGTTTGAGAACCACAGCTATAGGGTGTGGAAAATTAGATGAATCTGAAAATTTTACACATTATAATTCTCTTTTATTCCCTGAAAATGGGCATGGCTAAAGTTGGTTATATGATAGGTATGAGTCGTTCAATACGGAACTTGAAGAAAGTGACAAAATGTTGGAATACCCGTGGAGAAAAAGTGGAAAAAGGAAGGATCACAGCCTGTGAATTTACAGAGACAGAGAGACACAGATGGGCTGTTACATGCAACTACATATTTTATTATTTACTAATGATTGCATGAGCAAAGTCTCAGATAAGGGATATATTCAGAATACATCTGGTTAATGATTTTCTCACTTTAAAGAAGCGATCTACTTAATAAAATTCTGTCATAAACTAAGGAATTTGGGCACTTTTCATTTTTTGAAGCACGCCTTCCATACTAAGTCTGTTATTGAAGTATCTTAAGTCTCTGTAAGCATCATTGTCTTAGCTTATACAGAGAAAATAAAGATCACTAGTTTACGAGACTTGTCCAGACACTACAGGAAGGCTATGGCATGACTAGGACAAGCTATCTGGGTCTCCTGATTAATTGCTATTTTCATTTTTTTCCTTCTGACAGACTTTAAACTGAAAAGCAGTGAGAATGAAGCTAGGGTGTCTGCCTTTGTGCCTTTAAGGAAACTAGTGGAGTTGAATTTTCAACGAGTCTTACTTTCCAAAAGAAGTGTCACACCTACAGAATTTAAAGACTAGGCCAAGCTTTAGCTCTTCCATCTGGGCCCTCAGTGTGGCCTATGAGTCCTTGAGGCTTTCCAGAAAGATCTCTAAATAGGGGTGGGTCCATCCAAAAGAAGAAGCAATGGTCACAATGTAAGATCTAGGTATCAAGTAAGCAATGATGAGAGCAGGAGGTTAAGGAAATTGGCTATAAATAGAGCTACAAAAGTATTTCAAAGAGTCAGCCCTGCTGTTACAGCTCAGAGAACTGTGCAACAGCTAAATAAACAGCTGTCCTGGTACAGCGCCAACTGAGGGTGTCTGGGCTTAAAGGAAGCCACACTGTCCACACATTGTGGCCAGAGGCCAAGGTAGGGGTAGAGAGAAAGATTTCAGGAACCATGTTGGATGGCACATGAAGGATAACACTACCAGCCATGTTGTGGGGAAATTGGGAGGATTCGATGAGTGAATATGTGTAAGTGCTTAGAACGTGGTCCACACACTTTAAACGCCTGCCAACGTCTTTCTAGAGTGACAATGACAGGCATCCACTCAAATGAGCTAACATTTCCCTCCCAACTGATTCATTTAATGAGAATTCACATATTTGCCAATACCTGAGACCCCATCTGCCTCCTCCATCAGAAAGCACAGCCACCTGTCTCTGCCCAGGAAGCTGTATAGAGCAACATGCTCTTCTACACAGTTCACAGCCACAGCCTCTGACCTGCTTCTGCCAGTCCACCATAGCATCCTTTCTGATTTTCAGCTTTTTACACATTCAACAGAAGAGAGAGCTGGGATGCGAGCAGCAGGAAAGGGCAGGAGAGTGATTTTGCAGTTTTCTTGGAGGAAGCCTGAGACTTGCAAATTGGTCTCCCTGGACCCATAAATCATCCCAGCCTCAGTACTTGATTTTGATTCTAAACAATCCATGCTCCTATTAGAAGTTTATGCATTAAAGTTGAGAAATACATGAGGTCATTTAGAGTCACCCTGGCCCAAGAAGACTGAGCAGCTGCTCACCTTTGTATTCTGCCAGGCACAGACACTCGTAGCCATTAACAAGGTCCCTGCAGGTGGCGGCGTTCAAGCATGGAGCAGACAGGCACTCGTTGTATTCCTCCTCACAGTAGAGGCCATGGTAACCTAAGGGACAGAGAGAAAGGCCTGTGTCAGAGCATCCCATTAAAACACACAGGGGGCTAGCCTGCATGGAAGGTGGCTGCATACTCACTGACAAGCATGGGGCAAACAGACAGAATTTAAGGAGCTGGGTCTTTGGGAGTAAAATTGAAAAGTGAATTTGTTCTTCTAATGCTTTTACATGATTCCAAATACAAAGAAATGGCCCTTAACATGATGCATCCAAGGGTCTGAGTATGTTGGCTTTGGCCTTAGGAGACAATGAGAGAGGCAGGATTTGCAGCACAAGGGTGACTGCAAATGAAGTGTCCATTCAAGGACAAGAGCCACACTTTCCCTCCTCAATTAGGAAAATGTATTTATCTAAAGAGAATTTCATTAAAGAAGAAAAGCAACAATGCGTTTCCTTTGTTTCTCAGGTCCAAAGAGGAAATTAGCTTAAAATGCTTTGCTGAAATTCCTGTTGAAATGTGGGCTTGTTTTGTTTAAAAGTACAATTGTATGAAGTATAATTCAAATTGTGCTTAATTTTTACTTATAATAGGAACGAAGAAAAAGAAACCAACAATTTCATGATAAAAACAGCTTTTGCTCCCCTATTAGCAAAACAGGTGTTTATTCTAAAAAACAGGAAGACAACATTCTTTGAGATTCACTCATGAGTGTTACGCTGTTTTTCAACTTTCAAAAACATGTGTTATTGCCAATTTGCTGTGAAACCAGGCCATTTTTGTCCATCCCTATCCAAACAACAACAAACATATGAATGCTTTCAAAAATCACCCTGCCTGTGCTCATTCTGAACTCAGATAATCAGGAAAAAAAATAAATCCTTATACAAGTGGGAACTAGAACTACTAGCTTTTTCCAACACACACTGACCCTCAGATTCAAAGTCCTATAGAACATGCTACTGATACTGTGTTGAACGTTTCGTTTCTTGTGCTGAACACAAAAGTAGGCTAAGGTCATGTTTGCATTATTAACAGAGCACTTCTCAAGTGTGTTGCCATTTCAGTTATTTTTGAGCTGCTTTCCAAACTTGGACAGTGCTAATGGCCCCTGTGAGGAGACCTTGACCTACCTAAGAAATATGCCATGGTTTTCAATTTATCTTTCTTACCCTACTTTGTGTAATCTTAGGGAAGTATTTCCTATTACTCTTCATCATACTGTCTCAATCATCTAGATAAGAGGTTCTCAACACCAGTGATTTTGTCCCCCAGAGGACATTTGGCAATGTTTGGAGACATTTTTGGCAAGGGGATAGGGCTTTTACTAGCCCCCTACTGGGGAGAGCCAAGGATGCTGACCCCACAATGCATAGGACAGCTCCCACAATGGCAGACTCCAGCAAAACAGGTCAATATAGCAGGTTGAGAAACCCTGCTCTAGGTCAGGGGTCAGCAAACTGTAGCCCACAAGCTAAATTCATCCCAGCCTGTTTTTACAAATAAAGTTTTATTAAGACATAGTCACACCCAGCCATTTATGTATCCTGATAGAGAATCAGTGGAAGGTCTTTCTCTTTGCAATCATTTTGGATATTAATACCTTATCAAATATATGATTTGCAAATATTTCCTCCAATTCCACAGGCTGCCTGATTATTCTGTTTTTTCCTTTGCTGTGCAAAAGGCTTTGAGCTTGACATAGTGTCAGTTGCCTATTTTTACATGTGTTGCTTCTGCTTTTTTTATCGGTATATACTAGTTGTACAGCTGCGGGGGTGGAGGGGTCATTGTGATATTTACATATGTGCCTACTATGCATCTTCAATAGATTCACCCCCCCATCATTCTCCCTCAGCTCCCCTCCCCGCTTCTTAGAACAATTTCCACAGGTTTCATTGTTCAATTTGTGCACATGTATACAAAATACATCAACCATATTTGCTCAACCTCCCCATTTGCCCTACCCTCTCTCATTGGTACCCACCACGGAACAGGACCTGTTTTACCTTCCTGTCCTTCGTTTTTTAGTGGGGTTCACCTTGGTACTTCAGACATACCTTACTTATTTCATATCATACCTTACTCAAATTAACCCCTTATTATTTACTCTTTATTGTCCTGCTCCCCTATTTTTCAACAGCTTACAAAGCATTTCATTATACTATCTTCATACACAGATGCAGTGTGTGCCTTTGATGTCATAATCCAGGAAATCCTTGCCAAAACCAATGCTATGGGAGCATTTCCTCTGTGCTTTTTTTCTAGGAGTTTTATAGGTCCAGCTCTTAGGTTTAAGACTTTAATTCATTTCCACTTGATATTTCTGTGTGGTTTAAGATAGTACAAATGGCCAACAGATGAGAAGATGTTGATTATGAGAAAATAATCAACATCACTAATTATCAGAAAACTGTTAATCAGAACTACAATGAGATATCACCCCACACCTATTAGGATGGCTGCTATCAAAAAACAAGAAACAAAAACAACAAAACAGAAAATAACAAGTGTGGCTGTGAATGTGGTGACATTGGAACCTTTGTGCAATGTCAGTGGGAGTGTAAAATGGTACAGCTGCTATGGAAAATGTTATGGAGGTTCTTAGAAAAATTTAAATTACCATATGATTTGGCCATCCCATTTCTGGGTATTTATCCAAAAGAATTGAAAGGAGGATCTCAGGGAAATATTGATATTCCCACATTTATTGCAGCCTTATTCAAAACAGCCAAAAGATGGAAAGAACCTCAATGGATGACCATTAACAGAAGAATGCATAAAGAAAAAGTAGACTGTACACACAGCAGAACACTATTCAGGCTTTTAAAAGGAAGGCAATCTTGTCATATGTTCCAACATGGATGAACCTTCAGAACATTATGCCAGGTGAAGGACAAATGCCACAAGTTTGTACTTACAGAGGTTAAACCCACAGAAGCAGGAAGTAGAATGGTGCTTGCCAGGGTGGAAGGAAGGAAATTTGCTGCTCCATGTGTAGCGTTTCAATTATGCAAGATGAATAAGCTCCAAAAATGTGCTTTACAACCATGTGTGTAGGGTAAACACTTCTGAAATGTAGGAAGATTTCATGTTGTATGTTTCATGTCACAATAAATATATATATAAAGAGTTAGGTGTCTTTGGGCTCCTTTTCCTAATAATAAGAACCTTTTAGTGCTCGGTGTGGACCACCATCACTGGAAGCATCTTTTCCACTGTGTTTACTCTCACACCAGATATTTTATCAATTTGGAAGGGTAATATACAACCCTACCCCATCTTTGACCTCTGAATTGAGGTGCTATTTACATAAAGATCAAAATCAAGTTTTGTGGAATCATCATAGTTGTTTCATATTTTGAAAACAGTATCATTATCATTTTTTTTCACTAGCAACATGCAAAGCAAATGAGGAACTAATTGCACAACAATAACTAAGTTGGTGATGTTTTTCTTCTTTGGGAAGGGGGACGGAGATAAAGGTTTCATATCCTAAAACTGTTTCTTCAGAGATGGTAACATTTAAATGCCTTTATGGAAATGTCAAGGCATCCTTTACACTGAGTGCCAAAGAGCCTTAGATCAGACTTTTTGAATAAAAAGGCATGCCTTCCAAAAGAGAAGGGTTCTGTGAAAATGAGGCGGCCACCCCCTGCTGATAATTAATTCAGGCAAACAAATTAGCTCAGGGCAGTGTGCCCAAGGTCTGAAAAATTAGGCTAGTTCAAGGCATTTTTTGTTAAACAAAATAAGAGAACAGAATGGTGGAATCAAAGTGGCTCCTTCCTGGGCACTGATCTTCACCACCACTCCACCTGACTTGAGAGGACACAGCAGCTACCCGGATGTGGGGAGCCAGCTGCCATGTTTAGGCTGAGTGAGTGGATGATGTCATTGACACAAAGAGGTGAGACCAAAGGAAAAACGGTTTAGAAGAAAACAGGTTTATCTTTGAATAGGTCTAACTTGGGGCTCACTCGGAAAGGTTCAGGTGGCATAGAAAGAGTGCTTTGGGGTCAGTTGCCTGGAAGTGAAGTTGACGTTTTCATCATGCCTGCCTAGCAAGTTCAAAAGCCCTGAGTTCAAACCCCAATATGAGAGACAGAGAGAGCGAGAGAGAGAAAAAATATGAAAGGAATGAAAATGAAAGGCTGGAAGCATGGCTCAAGTGGTAGCCTATGAAGCTGGAGATCCTTGGTTCAACTCAGAGAGAGAGTATGAATGAAAAGGAAAAAGAGAAGGGACCAAGATCAGATCTACACAGTTGGTCAGGTGGCAAACAAGGAGCAGGAGCAGCACACTGGACTGGAACTGAGCAAAGGAGAGGAGAAGAGCCCAACGTATACAGTGTCATGGAAGGCAGGGCAGGAAGGAAGTCAAGGATGGTTGAGGGAGGTCTGGTTAGTAGTACAAAGGAGTGAGCATGACAACAGGATTTTCAGGGCAAGTCACTGGAGACCCTCATAGCTCTTAATGGGGCCTTTCCCTTCGAGGATGTTTTGAAAATTGGGGGTGGGGGGTCCTTATCTCCATGAGTGGAGACTTCTGCTACAATTTAGTGGGTAGAAACCAAAGATGTTAAGTAAGATGTAAGATCCAAAGTTCGGGATCCTCCTGCACAGCAAAGAATGGTCTAACCCTACACAGCTGTGGACTGTGGACACACTGGATGTTCCTGCAGGTGACATACCTGGTAAAAACTCTGCAGGACTAGACTCTGACTGCTGCACGTGTACAGCACAGTTTTGAGAAACACCAAGCTGTCTTGGAATGTATTCCCGGGTAATCAAGAGATTGCTGAAGAGTTGCTCACCATTTTGGAAAAATCACTTCGTAAGAGCAGTAAGCTCTAGTGGAATTTAAGTCATCAAGGAAAAACTTCTGTATCAGTAAAACACAAAAACAAAAATCACAGCCTCAGAGTTTTCTGACAATGCTGTGTGAAACGGTTCCCCCACTTGCCATGACATTCAATTGATCTCCGTCACAGAACTTGCAACTATCTGAAATTAGGTGTTTTACTGAGTTCTTTCCCTGTTATCATTTCTC